GCTCTTACCTCCTGTTTCGGTTTGTCCCTGAAGGTCTCGGGAGTGAATCTGTGTTAAAGTTATTCCTACTTAGCAGGTTTTGCTCCTGTTACATCAGAATGAGTAGCTGTTGGCTGTGGCAGAGTCCGTCTGAAGCAAATGTGAGCCCTGGGTGTGCTCCCAGCTCAGCGATCATGTGCGGCTCCTCCCCACCTTCACAGCTTCTGACATTTATACAAACAGCCGTGGTCTCCACACAAGGTCTGCTCTTCATCCAGTTTATCTACTTTTGCATTTATTGTATGAAGTGAGTAATGCTTCCCAGACTTTTTTGCCGTGCTGAGCTGTATCTCCTAGCTTGGGATGGGCTGCTGAAGCAAGCTCTGCATTGGAACGAAGCCTTTCCTGTATCATCTTCTTTTTTGTGTTGTTGGGTACTCGGCTTTTTTTGTATTGGCGACAGATTGGTGAAAGCAGGTTTTGGGTTTTGTTTTGTTTTTTTGGTTTTTTTTTTCTTTCTTTCTTTCTTTTTTTTTTTTGTTTGTTTTGGTTTTTCGAGACAGGGTTTCTCTGTAGCTTTGGAGGCTGTCCTAGAACTCGCTCTGTAGACCAGGCTGGCCTCGAACCCACAGAGATCCACCTGCCTCTGCCTCCCAAGTGCTGGGATTAAAGGCATGCGTCACCAAAGCCCGGCCAAGGTTTTTTTTTTTATTTCAGTTTCATACATGTAATGTTTTTTTATCTTACCCACTCAACTTGCCCCCCACACACATATCTTTGAAAAAATGTTTTTATGTATAAATACCTTGAGGGGGCCTGGTACCTGAGACCAGATGTTTGATACCCTAGAACTGAGCCACCATGTGGGTGCTGAGATCTAAGCCCAGGTCCTCAGCAAGAGCAGCAAATGTTCTTAAACACTGAGCCATCTCCCTAGCCTCTCCTATGGTAATGATTTTACTATCAGAATACTGAGGTATAGTGACCGTAGTTTTTTTTTAAATTTAGGGCTTCATGCCTGGAGGCATTCCACATCAGAACTGTATCCCCAGAAGTCTTATTTTTAAAAATAATTTTGAGACAAAGCCTCACTCTATGGACACAGGCTGAACTTGTGACCCTCTGCCCTAGCCTCCCAAGTAGCTGGAATTATTACAGGCCCTAGACACTAGCCACAGTCCCGATGGTTTAAAATGTTGTGTATATGGGTGTTTTATTTAAGTAATTTATTATTTTTAGTTTACATACATTGGTATTTTGCCTGCAAGCATGTCTGTGTGAGGGTGTCAGATCCCCTGTAACAGGTGGTACAGACAGTTGTGAGCTGCCATGTGGGTGCTGGGAATTGAACCCAGGTCCTCTCAACTGCTGAGCCATCTGTTTCCCCTAAAGATTTTATTTTTGATGTGTATTGGGGGGCTTGTTGTGGTCCCCTGGGGCTATTTAAGAGCAGTTGTGAGCTGCCCTATGTGGGTCTGGGAACCGACTGGATCCTCTAAGAGCAGTGTTTGCTCTTTACCACTGAGGTACCTCTCCAACTCCAATGATGAGTTTTGAAGCTGAAATTCTGTTGTTTCAGTTTCTTTAAACAGTCATTTTTTTTACTTTAGTTATGTGTATATGTATGTGCACATAAGTGCAGGTGACTTGAGTCCAGAGGTGTGATAAGCTGGTGTTATACAGCTGTGAGATATCTAATGTGTGCTAGGAACCAAATTTGGGTCTTCTCGGATTGGAGAGATAGCTCAGAGGTTAAGAGCACTGGCTGCTTGTCCAGAGGTCCTGAGTTCAGTTCCCAGCAACCACATGGTGGCTCACAACCATCTGTAATGAGATCTGGTGCCTTCTTCTGGCCTGCATTGCAAGCATGCATACAGGCAGACACTGTATGTATAATAAGTACATAAGTCTTGAAAAAAAAAAGCACACTCTTAACCGCTGAGCCACCTTTCCAGCCCACTCCTACCACAGCACTGACAACCTTGTTTGTAAGCTCCGACAGGATGGGGTAATCCTTTCCTCATGTGCCTCAGTCGCCTACAGTATGACCGGTACAGTATGACCACATGGTTAAGCAGGTACCTACTGCACAGGTGGGGCTGTTTGGTAGTCTAGACAAGGCCAAGTCCTGGGCACACTGTAAGTAGAAACGAGCATGAAAGGATTGAACACTGTCAACCATGTCATTCTTCCTAAATCTCATTTGGCACCTCAGTTCTGTCACCTGTAGCAATATTATTATGAAAACTATACTACTTACCTTATAGGCCTTTTGGAAAAACTGTGGCAATGTGTGTAAATCATCTGGTATCCTCTATGTGTTCCATAAATGCTAGCCATGAACTACTTAAAAACATAGTCAGGGCCGGGCGTTGGTGGCGCACGCCTTTAATCCCAGCACTCGGGAGGCAGAGGCAGGCGGATCTCTGTGAGTTCGAGGCCAGCCTGGTCTACAAAGTGAGTTCCAGGACAGCCTCCAAAGCTACAGAGAAACCCTGTCTCGAAAAAAAAACAACAACAACAACAACAAAAAAACATAGTCAGGGTTAGGGATGTAGCTATGTAGCTGAGCTGGAAGAGTGCTTGCCTAATGTGCAAGCCCAGAGTTCTATCCCCAGCAAGTCACAAAACCAGGTATGATGGTGGTACTTGTAATCCCAGCCTCAGGAGGACAGGAAGATCAGGCTACTTAGTAAATTGGAGACCAACCTGGGATATGAGACTGCTTTAAAAAACCTACAGTCAGCTTCAGTGACTTGCCTTGAGATTTCTCTTGCTATTTTTTCTCAGGTGCATTTGTGGGTTTGTGGTTACAAATAGAAATAGATCAAAAGGCCTGTGGGATTGCTACCTCGTCTCCTTTGTTTGTCCTGTTCTGTTCCAACGGACTCACCATTCCTGCCTACTGGCCCTGGCAGAGCTGTTTGTAGCCCAAGGTCAGAGTCCTTCAAGGAACTTTCCTTTTGAGAAGTGGTCTGTTGCTTCAACTTGGCCTCAGTGATACTTCTGCCTCTGCCTCCCAGAAGCTACGTTGACAAGCTGAACCTAGCTCTAGCTCCTCCAAGGACCCTTTCTCCCCCTGAGACAGGGTTCCTCTATGTAGCTTTGGCTGGCCTAGAACTCCAGATCTGTAGAGCTGGCTGTCCTTGAACTCAGGATAGCCAGCTACACAGAGAAACTGTCTCAAAAACAACAAAAAGTGTTCTTCCCTCACTACAGATGCTAAGCTAATGGAAGCATCTTTGCCATCACATGCAAAGAATATGCTTGAAAATGAAAACAACACACAGGAAAACAAAACTAAGAAACGAGGTTAATGTTATCATGCAATGCCTACAGCCAGTGAACCATCATCCTATGCTAGCTCAAACAAAACACCTTTCTATTGCTTAGGCCAGGCTCAGGTAAGTATATATGATCACAAACAAGACTCCTCTGTAACAAATATTTGTAACTCCAGTTCTAAGGGATCTGGTATCCTTTCTGGCTACCATAGGTACCAGGCATATAATATACACGGTACACAGACATACATCCAGGCAAAACACACACATCAAATAAAAATTGTATGATTATCATGTTAACTACATGTCGTTACATCACTGGGTGATCCTTTGTTTCCTTTTTTTGTTGTTTTTGTTTTCAAAACATAGAGTCTCACTATATTAGCTCTGGCTGTCCTGGAACCATGCAGACCAGGTTGGCTTTGAACTCAGAAATCAGCCTGCCTCTACCTCCCAAGTGCTGGGACTAAAGGTGATCAAGCTCCATTACGCCTGGCTGTTTCCCTTATTCTGGCGATTAATATAAGGTTACATACTGTAAGGACTCGGGCATTATGCTGGCCTGCCCCTGGCACATGATAATGCACTCAGACAGTACCCTGGTCAGCCCAGGGTTCCATGGCTACTAGTCTGCATGCAGGGGCAAAGGACCCCTTTAAAAGAAAGACCCCCCCCTTCCACTCTTTCCCACTCACTTTCCTGCTGTCCCCCTGGGGCAGACAGGACTTTTCCTGTCTCCCTCTCTTCTCTTCTGTCCTCTGTCTCTTTCCTCCCCCACCTTCCTTTTCACTTAAACTCCGTCTACCTGGCATGTTTGTCCCTCGCCTGCCATGGAATCCACCAAGTCCCCCACGTGCTTCATTCCTGAAAGCCACAGCTACCACACAGTCAGTCTATCTATGGAAGATTTAGACAGGAGGCCATGTTCTCAAAGATGCATTTGTGTCCTGACAAGCATACACACCTTTGCTAACTTGTGAGAAAACTATGACACTCAGTCAGGACTTAAGAGCCGAGAGAACTAAGAACACAAGTACAAGCCAGGTGGTGGTAGCACATGCCTTTAATCCCAGCACTTGGGAGGCAGAGGCCAGCCTGGTTCCATAGAGCTCCAGGACAGTCAGAGCACAAGTACATATAATGTATGTATGTATGTCAGGTTGGTAACTATAAAATTAAGCCCCGTCTCAAAATGAAAAATGCAACATATATATATACATATATATTTTATTTTATGTAAACAAAAAATGTATTCCTGGTGCTAGAGAAATGGCTCTGTGGTTAAGAGCATTGACTGCTTTTCTAGGGGACATGGCAGCTCACAACTGTCTGTAACTCCAGTAACAGGGGATCTGACATACCCTCACACAGACATACATGCAGGTAAAATAGCAATAAATGATAAATTTTTTAAAATGCATTTGCATATATTCATACTTAATTATGCTACTAAAATAAATACTGAAAAGCCCATACAAGTAAATTTCTCACAAGCAGTAGAGATCAGAAAACAGTGGTAGAGAGACTTTGACATGTATAGCTTCTTACAAAGTCCTGGTATCCAAACATTGTGACTATATTATCCACTGAAAAAAGTAAGCCCTTTTTATGATATCAGCCACCACTTCCCATTCCTGGCTTCACTGACATAGCCCATAAGCCTTTCTCCAGGCCTGACAAACAGCTCCCATTTCTGACTCATCCAAAAGGTGAATAAAGGACATGGTCACACTATAATGCCTTTAGAAGAGAAAATTTTATTGTTAATTATTTACCTTAATAGTCTCAGAAAGAACAGATTAGCTCAGTCTGACATGATTTGCAGTTGGCAAAATCTAGTGAAGCAAGTGTGTTCTGACTGCTAAGGATTTAATTTGGGTGCTTTTAATACTCAGCCATCTATCACTTGGAACATAATCCAGAATAACGAATTACCCCTCCTTTTAACTTCAAAGCCACGCCTACCTCCCTTCATTATGGAAATATCTTCATTAAATATGATTCCCAGAGGACAGGTTCCCCGGAGCATATATATAGCCATGAAAACAGTGCACAAAAAGAAAACTGAAAATAAAACTCTGTATGATAATTTACTAATCTAAGGAAATAAACCCTTCCAATATATTAAGAAATAAATCCAGTTACAAATGCACTAGTAGGTCTATGTGAGGAGGCTCTGGTAGAATAACTGAAAACAGCCAGTTATTTACAAGATACACAAGCAGGAACGGTGCACCTAGCCCAGCACTGGTCCTCAGAAGCCAAAAGTGTTCTCTCCACTGTAAGCCACATACAAGAATCCATCTTCATCTTTTTCTTTCTCGTAAAGCTGTCCCATAGTTAGGCTTGAAAGAGAAAAAAGAAAAAAAATATCATTGAAAATTGAGTCAGGTATCAAGTGGAAAAATAAGGCCTTAAGGGTGAGGAGCTTTGTGGTTGGTGGCTGGGAGGTAAAAATAATTCAGGTACCTGCTGTGACCTGCAATCTGTTCCACTGAAAGAACACAAAGCATGAAAAAATGAAGGTGGGGCTGAGGGGTGGCTCACAAAAAAATGGGGAGAGGATTACATCAAATCAGGAGCTAGGTACAGTGGCGAGCACACACCTAACATCCCTGCACTCGCTCTGAAGCCTTCCAAGAAGCCAGCCCCTTGCAAAGGCATCTGATAACTTAAATGACAGGACCACCCCATGAAAGACCCCTGTAAGCAAGGTGTTGAGTTCTCCTCTCCGGGCATTTATTTGAATGTTTATAATTTAGACTTGCGTGTCAAAGGTACAGGTGGATACTTACTATGAACACTCCCAGGTCACCATCTGAAACCCCAGAGATCTATACAGTAGGATCAGAGACCCTTGTGCACCATGCCCAAAATTCCCACTATATTTGGGATCCAAAGAAACCTTCCCTAGGCCAGGGATGTACTTCCGAGGGAGGGTGCTTTCCCAGCAGGGGTGAAGCAACTGGGTGGGATCCCCACTATTGCAAAAGAATAAAATACAATAAAAGATTGCTCAAGCTTCCAAAGAGCCTCCAAAAATAAGAGTCCTTAAACTAAACATGTGGGTGGGAAAATCAGCTTTCCCTATGCTGTGAAACAGACTGCAGTAGACAACTAAATCTATTTCTCTGCCAGAGTAGTATACCTACCGTAACCTCATGCAATCTCTGGCCAAGTGACCACACTGATGAAGTATGACCACCAAGAAGTGGGCCAACCAGAGCCAGCAGCAAGATGCTGATCCAAGAACAAGTCCTGGTCACAACAGCACAACAGTTGTTTGAACATGGACATAGCAGGGGTGTAGCTCAGCTGGTAGAGTGCTTGCACAGCATACATAAATGGATCCAGGACCTCAACTTTGTGTAGAGATGATTCCTCCCTGGCTTTGCTGCTGTTGTATGATTAAGACCAATATGTAAACATGGGACACAGGGCCACATTTAAAAGGGGGAGATTTTGCTTTCTTATTTCACTTCCCACCCCATTTGCATGTTTCATGTGGGCAGATTAAGTAATAATGTGGGGACAAGTATGAATAAAAGCCTGTCATCTTCTGCAATCACAACAGTTCTCCGTGTGAGGCTCTCAGTTTGGAATTTGGGTAAGGACTCTCTGAATTGGCTGGAGAAATGGCTCAGTAATTAAGAGCACCTGTTGCTCTTACACAAGACCCAGATTTGTTCCTAGCACCCACATGGCAGGTCACAACCATCCACAATTCCAGTTCCAGGGGATCTGACCCTCCCTTCTGACCTCAGTGGGCAGCAGACACATACATGGTACACACACACACACACACACACACTCACATACACACATATACATATACGTACACATTCAGATAAAACTCTCATGCATATAAGTAACTCTCTAAAACAAAAAGAAAACAAGCAGACTCTTCTGAATAGCACTGTTTAATCAAAATCCTTATTGGTTTTGTTTTACTTATTTTATTTTGACAGAGTATTTGAGACAGGTCCTGGCACTCACTCTGTAGATCATCAGGCTGGCCTCAAACTCACAGAGATCTGCCTGCCTCTGCCTCCTGAGTGCTGGGACTGAAGGCATATGCCACCAACACCCACTCAAAATCCCTATTGTTAAGGAATATCCTCTGTGGCTGCTCCTAAAACAAATTATCAGCTCTATTCAGCAACTGAAATGTGCCAGCACTCGGGAAGGCAGGTGGGCAGATCTGTGAGTTCAAGGCCAGCCTGGTGTACAGAACAAATTCCATGACAGTCAGAGCTGTTATACAGAGAAGCCCTGTCTGGAAAAACCAAAACCCCCACAAAGTTTCAGAAATAAAACATCAAGTTTGGTTACTTGTTGAAATGACAAAATTTTCCATTTACTAAGTAAGTTAAATAAATGGTTAATTTCACCTGTTTTTGCTGTTTTTTGTTTGTTTGTTTGTTTGCAAAAAGGTCTTTCTATGTAGTCTTGACTGTACTGAAACTCTGTATGTAGACCAGGCTGGCCTTGAACTCAGAGATCCTCCTGTGTGCCACAGACTAAAGGTATCCACCACCACACCCGGCAATTTCACCTGTTTTTAACTTACTAGAATTTTTTTTATTTATTGTGTATACAGTCTTCTGCCTGCATGCCAGCAGAGGGCACCAGATCTCATTCAAGGTGGTTGTGAGCCACCATGTGGTTGCCGGGAATTGAACTCAGGACCTCTGGAAGAACAGTCAGTGCTCTGAACCTCTGAGCCATCTCTCCAGCCCACTTACTAGAATTTTTAAAACCACAAGGTTTACATGCCATTTCCACAGACAAGTCAGGGAAGCTGGTCATAAGAATACCTACTGTAGCAGGGTGTTGGTGGCACACGCCTTTAATCCCAGCACTCGGGAGGCAGAGGTAGGCGGATCTCTGTGAGTTCGAGACCAGCCTGGTCTACAGAGCAAGTTCCAGGACTGGCTCCAAAACAATACAGAGAAACCCTGTCTCGAAAAACTAAAAAAAAAAACAAAAAACACCTACTGTGTTCATTTCCAACCTGGGTTGCCCTCAGGATCTCTAGAGAGCTTTATAAGGATCTCCATGAATGAAATGAAGCCTGACTGAGGTGGGATGCAGGTATTAAAATTGGCATACAAAGGAATAGGTCTCCTTGAGGCATTCTCATCCATTTACATTTTTGGTTGATTCTACCCCCTTCTCCCTGGGTCTCCATCCCCCCTGCACCCTCCTGCAGTGAACCATCACTACTTGCTTCACTATCTCATCATTTTCTCTCATGAGCCCCTCTCTAGTTTTCACAGACATTTTCTTTTCGGGGGTAGGGAAGACAGGGTCTCTGTTGGTGTCCTGGAACTCACTCTGTAGATGAGGCTGACCTCAAACTCAAAGAAACCCACCTGCCTATGCCTCCCAAGTGCTGGGACGTAAGGTCTGAGTCACCACTGTCCGGCTCCAGGCATGTTTTTAAAATGCTGAAGATGTGTCTATGTGTGGCCATATTAAGAGCAAAGGCACCTGCCTTTTGGGGGGTGCAAAGAGTTTTCATCTGATTATGAAGTAAGGTGATGAGTCAAAAATGAGTGAAAAGTCAGCAGGTTAGCAGGACTCAAATATATAGCTGATCTTCCAGTTCTTAGGCTGCTGGCTGGGAATCCCTAGAGAAACCCCACTTTTCTGTGACTTCTCAGAAAGAAGCTAACAGGAAAACACTACAATAGGGCACAAGCCTACCCTCCTTGGTCCAGTGTCAGGGTGCCCTTGAAGAAACCTGCTCTAATCCCACTGCTGAATTACTATTACCCAAAGAGCTTCATGAACCACTCCCAGAGTGTACTGCTGACTCCACAAGATGCCCACAGTGAACCTGGAGCAGCACTGGGACAGCTGCTGTCTAGGCCAGAGTGGCCTGAGACCCAGTCCTGACCTCTAACAGGATAGAGGCCACAATCGTGTAGTTTGTGTTCTTTTCTGCTTGGGTCCCACTGTTTCTCTTTGCTTTTTCTAAAATTTAAGTGTGTAAACCAGGCGGTGGTGGCGCACCCCTTTAATCCCAGCACTCGGGAGGCAGAGGCAGGTGGATCTCTGTGAGTTAGAGGCCAGCCTTGTATACAGAGCGAGGTCCAGGACAGCCTCCAAAGCAATACAGAGAAACCCTGTCTCGAAAAACCAAAAAATAAAATAAAATAAAATTTAAGTGTGTATGTCTGCATGTTTATCTGTGCATATGAGTGCCTGGTGATGGCAAAGGACCCTTGGAACTGAAATTCCACACGGTTGTGAGCTGCTTGCTGTATGGAAACCAAATCTCAGTCCTTTGCAAGAGAAGTTGCTCTTCAGCACTGAGCCAAATCTCCAGCCCCTCAGTTGCTCCGCCTTTTAAGAAAACATTGTGTTCATCCATTAAACAGTGCCCAAGCAGCTGTAGAGGCTGACACTAAAACCATATCTATCCTAACACTCTAAGCTCCATTCTAAATACTATACATAGTCATTTTATCCTCACAGTAATCTTGTCAGTACTACCATGACCCAAAATTCAAAGAAGTAAAACCTAATGCATAGAGAGATAATGTATCCACAAAACAGTAAACATTCTTTTGTTTGTTTGTTTTTGTTTTTATCTAGGCAGGGTTTCTCTGTGGCTTTGGAGGCTGTCCTGGAACTAGCTCTTGTAGACCAGAACAGGTCTCAAACTCAAGAGATCCTCCTGCCTCTGCCTCCCGAGTGCTGGGATTAAGGGTGTGCGCCACCACCCAGCTAACAGTAAACATTCTTATCACCACCCTGTACTGCCTCCAAGTGAACACAGGTAGGCTGTCCCTGTGAGCTAGCATTAGAACTTTGCACCTTAGCAAGATCTTCCTTCCTCATCTTCTCACACCTGTACTAACAAAGTTTACTCAAAGGAAGCACAGGCAGGCAAAACAGACCCTGTGCAAGAGAGTATGTAACAGAGACAGGCGTATGTCAGTTTAGGACAGATTCTATAAACCTCAGGATGGATGAGTTTCCACTAAGCAGGCCCTGTCAGAATGGCCAGGAGTCCAAAACACAGAGCCAGCTATAGCATATCTTGACAAACTGCCCAAGCCTGCTGGGTAGTTAGATCAAGTAAGTCAGACCACAATTCCAAGGCTTCCTACCTAAGCTATGGGGGGTGTCTATAGAACATACCCAAAACCTTTAGTACACTGCATTCTAATGTTGTAGCTCCAGTACCACATGCAGGCATCTAGAAAAAATTCTGCACTGGGTACAGGGGCACTGCCACCTTCTAAACTCTTGGTACTGACTAGTAAAGAAATGGAAACTGGGGCCATATAGATGGCTCAGTGGTTAAGAGCACTGGCTGCTCTTCCAGAGGTCCTGAGTTCAAGTCCCAGCAACCACAAGAAATGGAAAATACCGATCTAAGCTCCCAAGTACAGAGCAAAATGAATCACAGTTGTTCCCTGGAGGCTGCTCCCATGCTTCCATTTGGGGTCAAAGATCCATTTCCTCCTGTGGAGGAACTGACCAACAGTAAAGCCAGGTCCTAGTAAGAACCAGGCCCAGGATTAGCTATGACAACCAAAGGCAAACATTCGCTTTCTGCTTCTCAGTAGCCCTGTGGATTGGGGGTGGCTGAGCTAGGACACGTGTGGACATACAACCCCAGTGCAATTACCTTCAACTCTCAACTAAAGGCAGGGATGGAGGCACCCTGCCATAAATGGGCTAGAAGAGTGATGGACACCTGGCCAGCCATCTGTACAGCTCACGCGCTTCCCTATCTCTCAGCAAGGCAGGACAGTGGGGTGAGGTAGGAGCCAATGACCACCACCACTGAGGAGCCTGAAAGGCATCGGTTGTCAAGTGCAAGTCTAATGCAAACCAAAATACAGAGCTAACTATTCCTTCATATTCGATGTTCCTCTTGCACAAATCTTCTGCCATTCCTAAAGCACCTTTTTAAGAAACTGTCAGAGGACAACCCCTATGACTCAGTTCTCTCCTTCCAGCATGTGGGTTGCCTTCAAACTCAGGCAAACACCTTTACCTGCTGAGCTATCTTCTCCCAATAGCCATCACTGAAAGAAGTATTTACCCAGAAATGATCAAAATAGTTATGTTTAAGCACACTTCTCAACAAAGGATGGACCCTAAAACATCTGTCTCATCGTCCTTTTAAAACCTTGAGAAAAGCAACCAACCCCCCAACCACCATCTTCAGCAGCACTGGTTTCTCCAGGCCAAAATGTCAGCATGCTGAACCAGGCTGACCTTGAATTTATAGAGTTCTTGAGTACTGGGATTAAAGGTGTGTGTCACCAAGGGCTAGCCTGTATCTATCTTAAACAGGGAATAAAGAACATTCTTGTCTGTGCTCTAAACAAAGAACAAAGGCTATTATCAGACCTGGGTTACCCTCCACTATCATGACTGGAAATTTTCATACCAATGTCTTTCTCAGTTCTATCTGAACCAAGAGATAGTTCCTCTTCTGTGTGAGCCAGATTCTTGATGTATGTACTTAGGCAGAGAATTCAACTTTCTAATGCTACATGAAAAAGGCAGTTGAGGCCTGGTATGGTGGCGCACACCTTTAAGCTCAGCACTTGGGAGTCAGAGGCACGTAGATCTCTGAATACAAAGGCAGCCTAGTCTACACGGTAAGTTCTAGGACAAACAACTCAGGAAAGAAAAAGAAAAGGCAGCTGAATCTGATCCTACCACCACCTTTTCTTTACTTTTTTAAAGAAAGGGGAACTCCACCCCCCCCCCAGGGTTTCTCTGTGGCTTGGGAGGCTGTCCTGGAACTAGCTCTTGTAGACCAGGGCTGGTCTCCAAATCACTGAGATTCGCCTGCCTCTGCCTCCCAAGTGCTAGGATTAAAGGTGTGTGCCACCAACGCCCAGCAAGAAAGGGGAACTTAGAAAGAAGGAAATAAAGCTCCTAGGGACTTGCCTCTGTGTCTACCCAACATCTGTATTTAAATACCAGCTATGCCTTTCTCAGTGCTTATCTCCTGTGTTCAGCTCCACACATAAGTAATGTATTCTGTTCAACCTCAGGCAACAGTCATTTACGGAACAGGGAAATCCTGGATCCATTCTGGGTTCACTTCCCCAGCCATTATGCAAGAACCGGAATGAAGGTTAAAGGAGGCTCCAAGGTTCCCAAAGGAGCCTGGAAAAAGCTGAATAGAGGCTGCTAAACTGACTTTGAGGAGCTAATGGAGCCGAGTCACCACCAGCTTTAGGAAAGAGACTGTGGTGTTTGCATGGGTCTAACGATATCATAGTCTCTTTTGTTTATAAAAATTTGGGTTTGAGTTTTGGTTTTTGTTGGAGACAGGGTCTCACTATATTCCCCCAGATGGGTTCCTCCTACCAACAACTGGAATTGAAAGTGGGTATCATCTCAAGCCTAGCTAATAAATACAGTTTTTTTGGTTTTGGGTTTTTTTTTTGGTTTTTTGAGACAGGGTTTCTCTGTGGCTTTGGAGGCTGTTCTGGAACTCTGTAGACCAGGCTGGTCTCAAACTCACATAGATCCACCTGCCTCCACCTTCCCAAGTGCTGGGATTAAAGGCATGTGCCACCACTTCCTGGCATAAATACAGTTTTTGGGTTTTGTAAGTTTTGTTTTTGTTTGTTTGTTTGTTTGTTTGTTTTGGTCTTTTGAGATAGGATCTCTATGTAATAGCTCTAGCTGCACAGTATAGACCAGGCTGGCCTTAACTCAGAAATCTGCCTGCCTCTGCTTCAAGAGTGCTGGGATTAAAGGCATGCACCACTACTGCCCAGCTCTAAATTCTTTTGTTTGTTTTGTTTAAGATGGGGTCTTTCTACATAGCCCTTGCTAATCTGGAACTCACTATGTAAACCAGGCTGTCCTTGAACTTAGATCTATCTGGGTATACCACCATCAACAAATAAGTTTTTAATAAAACTCCCAAATGAATACAGATTCACCTGCTAAGGGCCTTGGTGTTCTCTTCATCCTCAAGAGTCAGAATTTGGCCAGGCAGCACTTGGGAGGCAAGGTAGGCAGATCTCTGAGTCAGAATTTGGTTTCTGGGGTTCTGGTCACTCAGCCCTAAAAATCCTGACTTTGGTCAAATATAATCTGCTTTAGGGTAGAGCCGTACCAGACTATAAAGTAAGGGGAGAATTCCAGAAAGTACTTGGAGAGAAAATGGCTCTGAAGCAGCTTCTGCTGCCCTTAGAACCACTTCTGACTTCAGGGACAACAGGAAATGGGTGCCCCGACCTATAAGCTACTTTCAATTACTAGATACTGTGGAGCCTCAGAGAAACCTTAAGTCTTCAGACATTAAGTATGGGACTGAGGACATGACTAAGTAGTAAAGCACTTCCCTAGCGACAAGGCCCTGAACTAGATCACCACCACTGACTACTATATGCCAGAGGATCAGCATTAAGGAAAATACACCCAGTGCCATTGATCCTAGTCTCCTACTTCCTCCCTGTAAGCCACCATCTCCAAGAAGGAGAAAACAGGATCATACAATTTCTGAAAGTTATAAAGGAAGTTACCTCCTCTATTACCTGAAGGAAGAGCCAAGAGTGACCCCATGGATGCCTGAGCTGGTTTCATCCCTTGGTAAAGTGCACACCCAACAACATACTACCCAAAAGCCTGTGATAAGAGGGTCTGGACCCAAGGATGACATGATAACCAGAGCTCTAGGTATTGGCAGTAGTCATTTTATCAGACTTGTGAATCAGGTAGACACTGATTTTGAGACGATCAAAGAGCTAACTATGTAGAGAGGTAACTGAGCAGAGTGAGGAGCTAAAGTTGAGCCTCTCTGGGACCTACAGGTTCCAGTTTACATGAGTCATTAGGTGAAAATCTCACTACAGGCCTCAGTTCTACCTATGGTTTAAGGCCAAGAAAGTTCTGAACTGTTTTAAAGAACTTCTGAGATAATTTACCTAGGGTATAGGGTGTGCATATGTGTATGTGGAGGCCAGAGGCCAATATTGGATAACTTAGTTTCTGGGAGGCTTCAACCAGTGCCTTTACGCCAAGATCTGGTGGGCTGGGGAGATGACCCAGTAAATTGCTTCTGTGTGAGCATGAAGACCTTAGTAAGCTCCAAATTCATTTGGAGACCCTGTCTTAACATGTAAAAGCCTTAGCCATGCAAGCATTACCACCTCAGTGCCAATGGTGGGAGGGCAGAGTAAACTCCAAAACTGTCCTCTGGCCTCCACACCCCCCCACACACACACCGTGCCACCTGCATTCATATACACACAATCTTTAAAAAGTAAACAAAGCTGGGCATTGGTGGCGCACGCCTTTAATCTCAGCACTCGGGAGGCAGAGGCAGGCGGATCTCTGTGAGTTCGATGCCAGCCTGGTCTACAAAGTGAGTTCCAGGATAGCCTCCAAAGCTACAGAGAAACCCTGTCTAAAAAAAAACAAAAAAAAAAGTAAACAAAAACACAAGCATTGGCCTAAAAACGTAAATAGAGTAGAGAAGCAGCTGAGGAAGATACCCCGTGCTGACCTCTGGCTTACACAAATGCACACATACACACATACATATTATATAAACTCTAGATATTGTTCCGTTGTCTTAACAGAGTGAATACAGAATTGTGCTCTATTTTTTCCTGAAGCTACTGATATACAAATTAAGAGTTGCAATAAGTGCCAGGCATGGTACCATACGCTTTTCATTCCGAGGAAGGCAACTCCCAAAATCTGAAAACCAGTGTGGTCTAGAAAATGAGTTCTAGGGACTGCCAAGGCTACAGAGAAATGTTGTCTCAAAAAAATCAAAAAGGGGGAAAAATGGGGGGGGCTGCAGTCAGAACTCTTAAGAGCTTTTTTATATTTCCCAGGGTTTGATATTTCCCAAGCAACAAATGGATTTCTAAACCAGAGGCCTAACAAACACCTCTCACCTGGACTGTGGGACTGTCTTATCCACAAACAGGAAGATTGCCTTCTCAGAAGGAAGCTGGATCCTTTTCCTGATGATCCACATGAACTGAGCCACAGTGATGTCAGAAGGAACCAGGTACTTCCTTTTGTCAATGTCAACAATCTGAGAGCCGGAGACTTTTTCCACGATCACCTGGAGAGTCAAGCTAAGTCAGCAGGGGAGCAGCACTTTTGCGGCATGCACAAAGGCCTGGACTTGATTCCCAGCACTAACTACAGAGGGGCAGGAAAGGGAGGGAGGAGGAGCACGGGTGCACATAAGCACAGGACTGGATTACCTAATGTAAAGCTCTGCCCTCAGTCTGATGAGCACAGGGTGAGCAAGGAAATGTGTGGGTACTACACAGCATGAGTAAATCCACCTATGTCTTACTAAGCCACACTCTGGAGATCCAGAAATAATAAAAATCCCTTACCTCTGGTCAATTACATCCCTCATCTCTGATCTCAGCATCTAAAGAAAAACACAGCTGCAAAGCTTTCCAACTCAGCAGGGCATTGGCAGCACAGCCTTTAATCCCAGCACTCCGGAAGCAGAGGCAGGTGGATCTCTGTGAGTTCGTGGCTGGCCTGGTCTACAGAGTGAGTTCCAGGAGAGCCTACCAAACAATACAGAGAAACCCTGTCTCGAAAAACCAAAAGAAAAAAGAAAAAAAAAAAGAAAAAAAAGGAAAAAAAAAGCTTTCCAACTCTGAGACCCGCCTGCCTCTGCCTCCTGGGTGCTAGGATTAAAGGTACACTGGTCACCACTGCTAGGCTACCTTCCTAACATTTTATGTAGGCAGATGAAAGGTTATCCGGCCAGAGTTTCATCTGCAGTCTGTTAACCCACTATCCCAGAACACTGCTAGAGTTAGCAGCAGTGGAAATTAGAATGGATGAAATGGCAATGCTCTACAGTCCCCGCCACCCAAAAACCAAGGTTTTTCATTAGCCTGTTGCTTCTCTGTAAACATCTGTTACAGGTTAACATCTGTCCTCCTAATTCTCTCCTCAAAGGAAATGCTTACAAGCAAAGAGCTACAATAATACTTTGTCCTTCGAAAATCAATAATGGCCAGGTGGTGGTGGTGCACATATCCTCCAGAGGCAGAGGCAGTCAGATCTCTGAGTTTCAGGCCAGTCTGGTCTACAGAGCTACACAGAGATAACTGTCTCAAAAAGCAACAACAAAATCAATAATGATATCAGAAACCATCTCCCCAACTATGACAGAAATATAGCATCATACTTCTTTTTTTTTTTTTTTTTTTTTTTTTTGGTTTTTCCAGACAGGGTTTCTCTGTGGCTTTGGAGGCTGTCCTGGAACTAGCTCTTGTAGACCAGGCTGGTCTCGAACTCAGAGATCCGCCTGCCTCTGCCTCCCGAGTGCTGTGATTAAAGGCTTGCGCCACCAAAGCCCGGCAGCATCATACTTATTGATTAAAGACAAAACGGTGGTGTTTCAGATTTATTATTCAAGCAAGGATGACAGCACCATAGAGACGTGAAGTTAAAGGATCAAAATTAGCCGGGCGTTGGTGGCGCACGCCTTTAATCCCAGCACTTGGGAGGCAGAGGCAGGCGGATCTCTGTGAGTTCGAGGCCAGCCTGGTCTACAAGAGCTAGTTCCAGGACAGCCTCCAAAGCCACAGAGAAACCCTGTCTCGAAAAACCAAAAAAAAAAAAAAAAAAAAAAAAAAAGGATCAAAATTAAAGATGAATGTCCTGAGACTATGATACCCTATCCAAACCAAGTGACAGTCTCCCTCCACCACCGTTCCCCAAAGTGGAAGTGACCTGTTGCCCTGTCCTAGAACACGGTTCCTTACATAATTAGCGAGGGAGCCTAGAGGCTGCAAGCAGCTTGCTGCCCTAGATCGGAAGATTCAGCACTGATGCCCCTGAACAGCACCACCCTCTTGCGCCCCAAGCTCGGGCCGGCCCCGGCCCAGCCCGTCCAGTCTCTGGCTACACTTTGAGACCTTAACTTATCAACTGTTGCACGGCCTACAGCGCCCGCCCGACACCGCTCCCAGTCTCTAAGGGTGGCAGAGGGGTGAGGGGGACGCGGAGTCCACACTCACCGGAACTCGGTCGGGGTACTTCGCTCTGATCTTCGCGGATTCCACGCATCTGTGCTCTGGGGGAGAAGTACACCCGGGTGACTGTCGCGCCTACCTGCCTGCCTGCCCGTCGGCCGGCCCCCAGTTCCCGGAACCCCATCTTCCTGTCCGCCCTTCGCAGCCCGCAACCTGCGCACGTACGCCCCAGAGCCCGAGCCCCGGATCCCGGGCCGCGGCCCCCCTCACAGACTCCCAGCAAGGTCCGTGGAGGGCTACTTGGGTTCGTGGGAGGTGCCCAGGCTGGCGGGGCCTTGGCGACCCAGCGGGGTGACGCGAGTGGGGGAGGGGCCGCAGCCCGGGGCTCGGCAAGGCCGACCGCGCTTACCCAGCGAGTGGTCCTCCTTAAACATCCACTTCATGGCGGCGGGAGGCGACGGAGCCGGCTCGCTGAGCCGCGGACTTCGGAGTAGCGACCACAACAACAACGGAGGCGGCGGCGGTGGCAGCGACGACTACTCGGCAGGCGGGACTTCCGGCTGCCGGAGCCTAGCAACCACCCGGGCGGGGCTTCCGGCGCGCCTGGTAAATGAACCAGGGGCATGAACTTACGTGAGGGGGCGGGGCCTAGAAGGAGACGACCGACCCCCCCAACACACACACACACCCCCCAGGGGCTCGCCTGTAAATCGTGGCTGACGTAGGTGGCTGAGGAGTCTGAGGGACCGTGGAGACTCGAGGAACTAGTTACTGGAATGGGGTCTCTGGATTGTGCGAGACGGGCAGGTTATGGCTCTCAGCTTAGAACGCTGATAAAGGGATCTGGTAGGGGAAGTCTGGGGCTTTGGAGAGAGATGAATATTAATGTTTGGCCTGGTGACAAGGCGGGAGCTAAGTAACGTGGGATAACCAGTTACAAGCACTGTTTGACAATGAGTACTGCTGACAACCTAGAGTTCTAGTATAGGAGTTTTCGCACCTAAAATTTGATTTAAACAAATTTCATTTCCCTCTACTCATGACTACATATTTAAGCACCCATAAGCATTGATGAACAAGTATCACAGATATGCATTTAGTCAACGGAATATTCCCTATCACAGACAACCTTTATCAGAAACTGTCAGAGGCTAAGTGTGACTTTCAGGCACGGAGCATTCCCCCCACCCCCCAGTACTGGTCATGAGACAGCGCAGGGGATGCAGCCGGCAGTGGGAGTGCCTCAGCCCTCACAGTCTGAGCTGCTGGTGTCACCTGCCTAGGAGGAAGCCTTGAGGTTCACCCACAGCCGAGTCATCGGAGCAGCCCTCTCTAGGTCACCCTCTGTTTATGCATTGGTGAGCATGTAACAAGAATATGCAGTTAATTGGGCACCTGACCACGTGCTTGTGATTCTGCTACATCTGTCAAGCCTGTGTTTGAACATTGTCATCCACCATTTCCTACAGTTGAAATTCCTGACAGATGCTGTGGCTGTAGCTTCATTCTGAAAGCATTTTTGTTATTTTAAATTGGAGTCGGGGCTGAGACAGCTCAACAGGTAAAGGTGCTTGTTGCCAAGCCTGAAAACCTGAGGTCAATCCCCAGAACCCAGGTGGTGGGAGAAGTTACTTTTATCCTCTGACCTCAATGTGTGCCCTGTGGCATGCCTCTGTACATGTACACACCAAGATGCACGAAAAATAATGCAATATAAACAAAAATGTAATTTAAAAAATTTAAAGACTTTATGTCTGAGGAACTAGGTGTTTGTCTCCAATGAAATATCCCTTTGGATATTATACTTAGACATCGATGTTACATACAAGAATGTTGTACTTAGCCCAGTGGTGGTGGTGGTGTTGGTGGTGGTGGTGGTGGTGATGCATGCCTTCAATGCCAGCACTTGAGAGGCAGAAACAGGTGGATCTCTACAGAGCTAGTTCCAGGAAAGCCAGGGCTACATAGAACAACCCTGTCTTGAAAAATGGAAAAAAAATGCTGTTCTGGAAACTGGGAGAAATCCATGAGCAAAACAGACAACACCCATGCAGTAGCAGAGTTTGCATTCTCATGGGAAAAGACAAAAAACTAGATGTCAGGTAATGACAGGTGATATTTAGAAAAGTAAAACAGTGGGCGACTAGAGCATGATGCCCTGGGGGGATGGAGTGATGATTAGGCAAATCGTCACACTCTGGGAACACAAAGCACCCCCTGTGGCTAGAACTAAAATCAACAAAGACAAGTATGCTAGGAGACAGATCAGAAAGACCTGGAACAAACTGGGTGGTGCTTTGAATTGCATGCAATTTGTTTTTTACCACAATGTGATGACAAGTGAGGTTTTTAGGATCTGTAATACATTCAGACTTATTTTTTTTATTTTCAAGACAGGTTTTTCTCTGTGTAGTCCTGGCTATCTGTTGCAAGCCTTTATACTTACACTAGAACTTGCTCTGGAGACCAAGGTGGCCTCAAACTCAGAGATCCTCCTGTCTCTGCCTCCTGAGTGGCTGAACTAAAGACATTTGCCACCACACATGGTTCATTAGACTTATTTTAAATGATCAGCCTAACCTGGAATTGTAGTTCAATAATGGAGCATGTGCAGGCCTGGATTTAATTCTCTGCCCAAGAAAGAAAAAGAGACATAAAAAAAAATCATCAGACTAGGGGTTTAGCTCAGTTGGTAGAGAACTTTATACATGAAGCCTTGGGCTCAATCCCCAGAAACACTTAAAAGAGCTGGGTGGTGGTACACACCTGTGATCTCTCTTTTTTATTTGTTTGTTTGGTTTAATCTTATTTGTTTGTCTTTTGAGACAGAGTTTCTCTGTGGAACAGCCCTGGCTGTCCTGGAACTCCCCTTGTAGATCAGGTTGGCCTTGAGCTCACAGAGATTTACCAGCCTCTGCAAATTTGCTGGCCTCCGAACCACCACATCCTGTTCTCCTGTAATCTCAATACACAAGAGGTGGAGGCAGGAGAGTATGAAATTCAAGGACACCCTTAGTCACACATTGAGTTGGAAACCAGTCTGGTCTAGAGACCCTGGCTCAAATGTATCTATCAGGTGAGATGACTCCGCAGATAAAATTATTTGCTGCCAGGACTGAGGACCTGACTTTGGTACCTAGGACCCCACATGATGAAAGAAAAGAACTGAGCAGGCAGAGAAAGTGGATCTCTGAGTTTGAGGCCAGCCTGGTCTACAGAGTTCTAGGACATCCAGAGCTACACAGAGAAACCCTGTCTTGAAAAAAAAAAAAGAAAGAAAGAAGGAAAGAAAGAAAGGAAGAAAGTAAGGAAGAAAAGAAAAACTCACACTGCTTCTCTTTGTAAATCTGGTCACGGTGCCCTAGTCCAAGACACATGTGTATCACTTAAAAGTAAGAGCTATGTACACTTCTCAGGAGGAAAGCCCACTACTCATCAACTCATAGGCATGTCCTCTGACAGTTATGGTGACAAGCTATGTATTTTTTGTATTATTTGCTCATTTGATATCTTTTTTTTTTCAGTTCAACCTTCTAATTAGCTCTAATCTGTCATGATATGCACCCATGTGTTGGTCTTTGCATTTAGCTTTCTTGAACATTCTAAAGGCTCTAGATGCCTTCTGGGGGCTGGTGGAGAACTGAGGAGGTGAGTCAGGGGGAGTGGTAGGATGCACTCACATGTCAGCAGACCTGAAGGACCAACAGGATGTCTCATGTAGCCCAGGACAACCCTGAATCAAGACTGGCCTTGAATTCCTAGGCATGTGAAATATGCACACATGTATGTGGATCCCTGTGCCCATGTGATGGTCAGAGTAGGATACTGAAGGTAGCAGTCTAAAGCACCTTGTCCTGAGTACTGCCATTTTGACTTCAGACACCATTTTACCTGTAGGGTGAAACAAAGTTCAAGTTTCCAAGCCCTAGGGGAACTGGGAACTTTCCAATAGATGACCAACCTTCTCCTCAAACAATAGAAATAGTCTATTATGACCCTTAGTTCTCTAAAAACATTATAGCTATTCCTAACAGCAAAGAGAACAGATGAATCTGATTGGTTGGACTGAAAAGCTTACATTCATTATCTGTTGACATGATGGAAACATACAAAGAAAACCCCGAACTCCTGAATCCTGATTGGTGAGAACTGTAACTTTAACTTGGAAACAAATATTGCACTTGTAAATTCCACTTCTGCTCCTGCTCAGGGCTTTCAGGAAAAGCAGGGCTCCTGAGTCCCTGTCATGCAGCCCTGATTGATCAGTAACCACTTATGTGGTGATTTATTAAAGTCCTTGGGACCCATAAGAGTTGCCTCTCTCCTTCCTGGTGGTGCACAACAGACTGGGTGTGACAATGCCAGGGTCCTTCCCTGTCATACTTCCCCTTATTCCCTTAAGGCAGATTTTCTTGTTGAATCTGGAGCTAGGTTAGCAACCATCAAGCCACAGTCACCCTGAGGTTTCAGGCACACATATCCTGATCTGGTTCTTCACCTAGGTACTGGATTTAGAACTGGGGCCTCTTCATGGTTGTGTTTTGAGTGTTCTTTGCTAGTGATCCAACCGGGTTTAGATTGTTTGAGATAGTCTCATCTAACCCAGACTGGTCTCAAATTTGCTATGTAGCCAAGATTGGTCTTAAACTCCTGATCCTCCTGTCTTAGCCTTCCAGGAAATGGAATTCTAGGCACAAGCCACTACTCTCATCTAAAATGTGCAGGTTGAAGAAAATGACTTTATTGTCTTTTTTGAAGCAAATTGCAGGAACAGGAGAACATTCTGGTAATGAACACTGAAAAGCCAGTGTTCAATCATGAAAATATGCACTAAAAACTTTAACACTTTAACATGTAATATTTGATCCAGATGTGTTAATGCATGCCTTTAATCCCAGCACTCAGGAGACAGAGGCAGTTAGATGTCTGAGAATTCAAGTCAAGCATTGTCTGTAGGCAAAATTTTCTGTCCCACCAGCCAGTTCCCAAATAACCATACTGAGACTTATTATTAATTATAAATGCTGGGCCAATGGCTTAGGCTTCTTTCTAAATAGTTCTTATAACTTAAATGAACCCATTTTTATTAAATCATGTGGCTTATAGCTTGTTACCTCATTTTATACATATATGTCCTGCTTCCTCTGCATCTGGCTAGTGACTTTGCCCTTCTTCATCCCAGGAGCTCTCTCTCTGTCAGAAAGACCCACCTCACCTCTTCCTGACTAGCTCTTGACCATTTAGTTCTTTATTAAACCAAAGAGAGCAACATGTCTTCACAGTGTACAAAAAGATTGTTCCAAACATTTGTCTACATAGTGAATTCCAGAATAACCAGTGTTACACTTAAAAACCCTCTTGGAGCCGGGCGTTGGTGGCGCACACCTTTAATCCCAGCACTCGGGAGGCAGAGGCAGGCAGATCTCTGTGAGTTCGAGACCAGCCTGGACTACCAAGCGAGTTCCAGGACAGCCTCCAAAGCCACAGAGAAACCCTGTCTCGAAAAACCAAAAAAAAAAAAAAAAAACCCTCTTGGGGGCAGGGTGGTGGTGGCCCACACCTTTAGTTCCAGCACTCAGGAGGCAGAGACAGGTGGATCTTTGTGAGTTCCAGACCAGGCTGGTCTACAAGAGCTAGTCTCAGGACAGCCTCCAAAGCCACAGAGAAACCCTGTCTCAAAAAACCAAACCAAACCAAACCAAAACAAAACAAAAAAACCCTCTTGGGAATGGGGATATAATATCCAGGGGCTGGGGAGATGGCTCAGAGGGTGTCTGACCTCCAAACCCAAACTGTGGCAAATGCACACTTGCACACATACACATTCACAATAAATATATTTTTAAAAGCATTTTAACATTTTATTTTAAAGAATTGGAATAAAACCACAGAGTCTAGCTTCCTGAAATCAAGGCAGGAAAGAGGAACAGCTAGTACAATTTATTCCTAATTACTATACCATGTTTATGTCTTTTTTTTTTTCTGGTTTTTCGAGACAGGGCTTCTTTGTGGCTTTGGAGGCTGTCCTGTAATGCACTCTGTAGACCAGGCTGGTCTTGAACTCACAGAGATCCGCCTGCCTCTGCCTCTGGAGTGCTGGGATTAAAGGCATGCACCACCAACACCCTTAGCCCCTGTGTTTTAATCGTATGTGTATAGGTGTTTTGACTGCATGCATGTCTACATATCATGTGTGAGCAGGGCTCACAGAGGTTGTTGGACCCCCTGTGACTGGAGTTACAGATCTTCTGGAAGAGCAGCCATTCTCTACAGCTCCTTATTTATGTGTTTTATTGCATTTATTTACTCATTTGTGTGTATGCAGATAAGCACCAAGACATTCATGTGAAGGTCAGAGGACAACCTTTCCAGCATTAAGATGTATTATTGGAGCTGGGTGATGGGAGCTGGAGAGATGACCCAATGGTTAAGAAGAGCGCTGATTGCTCATGCATCAGACCTGGAGGATGGAGAAGTGAAGGCCAGCCCAAGCTACATAGTAAGACCCTATCTCAAAACCGACAGACAAAACCTTCTGAAGGGTTTGGGGGATGGAGCGGGAGTGCCGCACACCTTTAATTCTATCATCTGGGAGGCAGAGACAGGTGGATCTCTGTAAGTTTGAGGCCAGCCTGTTCTACAGAGAGAGTTCCAGGACAGCCAGGGCTACACAGAGAAACCCTGTCTCGAAACAAAAAAAAAAAATCAACTTTCTCCTATGTTGAAATAATAGTACTAATAAGTGCTCACATAATCAATCAGGAAATGATAACCTTGGGGACTACAGCTAGATGGTGGTGGCCCACGCCTTTAATCCCAGCACTTGGGAGGCAGAGGCAGGTGGGTTTCTGTGAGTTCGAGCCGAGCCTGGTCTACAAAAACAGTTCCGGAACAGCCAGGACTGTTACACAGAGAAAACTGTCTCAACCCCCACAGTTCCTCCCCCCCCCCAAAAAACTTTGAAGAATACCATACCAACACTTATTCCTAACTAAATACATCAGAAGGATCCATGTAGGAAATTACCTATAACCTTTGAACAATCGGGGTTTTGTGTTCTGCTTTCTGTCTTTCCTGCTATGGGGTACAGAGGAAGCAGAACTAAAATTGAAGACAAAAGTACCTGACTTCAGGACTGTGGCCTGTTACGTGAATGGTTGGACTTTGGTATGAACCACATTAACGTTTTTTAAAATTTTAATTTAGCTGGGCATTGGTGGCGCACGCCTTTAATCCCAGCACTCGGGAGGCAGAGGCAGGCAGATCTCTGTGAGTTGGAGACCAGCCTGGTCTACAGAGCGAGTTCCAGGACAGCCTCCAAAGCCACAGAGAAACCCTGTCTCGAGAAACCAAAAATAAATAAATAAATAAAATAAAATAAAATTTTAATTTAAATTAGAACCAAGTTTGCTTCACATGTCAACCCTAGCTCCCTCTCCCTCCCCTCCTCTCCCGTTCCCCTTCAACTCTTCCCCAGCCCCTCCCCCAATCCCCACTCCACACTCCAAGGAGGGTGAGGCCCTTTATGGGGGATCTCGAAAGTCTGTCATATGATCTGGGGCAGGGCCACATTGAAGTTTTTGTATCGAGACAAAGTCCGGTGTATCCCAAGCTGTCCTCCAACTTTGAAGCTAGAGATGACCTCGGATTTCTGATCCTCCAGCTTCCACCTCAAGGGATGATGCTGTTACAGATGTGGGCCACTGTGCCTGCTTTAATGAAGTACTGCGGGTGAACTCAGGGCTTCCTGCATGGTAAGCTACCAACTAAGCTACACCCACCACCCGCATGTTGTGCTTTAATAGATGACCTGTGGGAAGATGTTTACCAAGTCAACGTCTATGCAAATCTGTTTTCGTACAGTTGTTGAAACTGACTTCGGCAAGTGGAAATATTACTTTTTGTTGTTGCTTTCTAGAAGGGACCTCAGGCACCGCATAAAATGCATCTACTATCTAATCCTGCACAACCTCCCTCTAGCCCCACCCCTCCTAAAGGACTGCTTACTTACTATTGGTTCCTCTGCCCACCGTCGGTTGCCGTGGAGACTCGGCGCTGCGGCCCTGAGCTCATGGCGCTGTACCAGCTCTTCTCCCACCCGGTGGAGCGCGGCTACCGCGCGGGGCTCTGCTCCAAGGCCGCGCTCTTTCTGCTGCTGGCCACCGCGCTCACCTACATCCCGCCTCTGCTAGTGGCCTTCAGAAGCCACGGTGAGCCTGCCCGGGCTTGGAGAGCCACATGGATCGGTGCGGCCCGCTGGCCCAGCCCGGTTTTCCTGACCTGGCTCCCCAACCCGCCTTGTCTCCCGCAGGGTTTTGGCTGAAGCGGAGCAGCTACGAGGAGCAGCCTAGTGTGCGCTTCCAGCACCAGGTGCTGCTCGTGGCCCTACTGGGGCCCGAGCCCGGAGCCTTCCTCGCCTGGAGCACGTTCCCCACCTTCAACCGGCTGCAGGGGGTTCACCTGCGCGTCCCGCTAGTGTCGGTGCGTGGTTTCCGCCGGGGTTCTGGGGGACAAGGTGGGACGAGTTCCAGGAATCCCAGGTTGGATTGGGGGTGGGGGTAGGGGTAGGTCTCGGGTCTCGCAGGCTGATCTTAAACTATATAGTCAAAGACCGCCTTCAACTTCTGATCTTCCGGCCTCCACCTTCCCACTGTTGGGATTTCAGGGCTATGCGCTTCGCTGCGAGCACTTTATCACTGAGCCACATTCCCAGCCTCCCAGCTTGGATCTCAAGGAGCTACGGGCTTTTGAAACACAGTCTTTGGCCTGCGCTGGTTTAACTTTCTAGATAATGTCTCCAGAAAGTCAACCATGCAGTCGGTGTTCGTCTAACAAGAGTCCAGGATGCCAGAGCACAGCCTGTTTCTGGTGCTGGTCACTTCTGAATGGAAAGGTGGCAGTGAAAGCCCCTTTAGGGAACTAAAGGCCGACTTTGAGGCTCACCACTTCTGAAAGGGCAGTAAGTGCCAGAGGATTTGTGCAGACTGGACAAGGGGCGGGGAAAAGCGCTGATTGGTTGAGTTTTCGGCTCCTGCTTTGGCCAAGCCACGCCTGTCAGGGTTAGGCTCCCCACACTCAGCTCCAGTTTGCAGCTGTCCTCCTTGAAACTGAAGCATTTTACTGTCTGCGGGTTAGTGTTTACTTTCGCATAAATCAAATGCTTCCTTACAGTCATCCCTTTCCGTTCGTGTTCCGAAAATACTTTCCTTTCAAACGTGGGTCCTTTCAGACACGGCTGGTTGTTAGCCTTACAGGGCAAACTTGTATAGCTGATGGGGAAAAAAAATCCAGACTTTTCCACCAACAGCTAAATAAGAGCTTTAAAATATTAAAGTCTTGTTGGTTATGTGAATAGCAATACACAAAATCTGATCAGATTACTTTGCTCTTTAATTTTTCCATCTAAATATATTTTTTTTCCTGATCACAAACCTGTAGGCTCATTGTGAGATAAAGAGGTACAGGTTTATACATGATGACGGAAAAGTAAAGGTATCAGTATTTGTTAACCAACCTTATTAGTTTAAAGGTTTATAGATTATTCAATGACATGGACAGAATGATGAATTTAACCAGTTAATTGTCGGTATTTTGTCCCTTCTTAACCTACACTTGTCATCCCAGCTGAGGCAGGAGGATTGCCCTCTTCCCTGGGCTACACAGCAAGCACAAGCCCATTCTGTCTCAAAAACCATGGCTCTGACAGGTGAAGTCAGGGAACAGCTGGGAGGAGTCAGTTTTCTCCTTCTGTCTCAGGGATCCAGCTCAGATTTTCAGGGTTGACTGCAAGGGTCTTTACCTGCTGAGTGATCTCACTGCCCATCCTTACTCCTTGATTTTTTTTAAATTTGTCTCAATTTAATTTTTTCACTGTTAGACTTTATTTATTGTTATTTACTTATTTATTTTTAATTTTGTTTTTGAGACAGTGTTTCTCTGGAACTTTGGAGTCTGACCTGGAACTCACTCAGTAGACCAGGCTGGCCTTGAACTCACAGAGATATGCTGTCTCTGCCTTTGGAGTGCTGGGATTAAAGGTGTACACTACCACCACTGGACTTAGAATTAGTATTTGAATAACAAAATTTTGGCTAAGCTTTATGCCTTTTAAATTCTTTCTCCAGGCAGATTATTGTTACCTTGCCTGCCCAAGCTGGCTTTGGCTGAAGCAATAAGCCCACTTCAGCCTCCTAAGATGGGGGCTATAGGCATGACCACTTGTCCAGACTTAAACCATACACCTTTGAATGCCAATGGAAGATTTTCGTTGAAATTTTATGCACACAAAGAAAACGAGGCAAGCAAATAAAATAATTGTTAACTTCAGGGAAATAAAACACAAGAAAAAGCAAGGAAGGAAACACGCACTGTGAACAGGTCTTGTGTAGTCCTGAATGCTGACTGACCGAAATATGGATCTAGCTGGATTGAAGGGATGGGAGAGGAGTGTGTGTGTGTGTGTGTGTGTGTGTGTGTGTGTGTGTGTGGTGGGGGCTGGTGGGAAGAGGGGAGGGAGCTCAGGCTCCAGCTTTGTTCTGGGAGTGTCAGTAGAGAACACTTCAAACAGAGATGGAGATACACCCAAACAAATGGTATTAAACACCTGGGAAGTCTTTCTACGTGCACTCATCAAGTAACGGGTAAAAGGGTTTGTTGTGGAAATCATGTGGTTTTTGTAACACCACTGATCTCTTTTATTCTTTAAATGACCAGGTCTCTCCCCCACGGACACACACACACACACACACACACACACACACACACACACACACACACACACCCTTTGGTTTTTTGACATTGTGTGGCATATAGCCCAGGGTGGCTTGGAACTGGCTTTGTAGCTGAGGATGACCTTAAAGACTGAGCTGTGGCCTGCCCCGAGCTGAGATTGCAGTCTTGGGCCACCATGCCTGTTTTTACTACTTACTTACTGTGGTTCTGGTGAGCCAACCCAGGGTCTCAAAGTGGCTCTGCAAGTGTTCTGCCCACGGAGCAACACTCCCAGGGCTTTGCGGTATAGCCCAGGTTGGCCATGAACTGGTGAAACTCCTGCCTCCTTTTACTAAATACTGAGGTCACAAGCAAGGACTACCACACGTGTTCCCATTTTTATTCTTGAGCCTCTAAGGTAGTGGTTCTCAAACTTCCTAATCCTGTGACCCTTTAACAGGGTTTCTCATGTTGTGGTGACCCCAGCCATAAAATTATTTTCATTGCTACTTCATAACTGTAATTCTGCTACTGTTATGAATGGCAATGTAAATATCTGACATGTGACTGGGGGGGGTCTGGACCTACAGGTTCAGAACCCTTATTCTTATGCTCCAGAGAGAAGTGACTGGGCAAGAGGCCAAGGTTTCCCTATGTACTCACTGGATCTCTCAATTTCCACACTTATAAAAACAATTTTTGTTCAAAGTGTAAGAATAGCTCATTGGAGAATGCTTGACTACTGTGTGTGAGGACCCAGACTCAATCCAAACTTTTTTTTTAATCTTTAAACAAAATTAATCCTGATTTTACTTTAAGACAGTGATATTCTATTTGTTTGGTTGGTCAATTGCTATTTGTCTGTTTTTTGAGACAGGGTCTCTCTACAGAGTCCAGGCCAAACTCTTAACTCACTATGTAAACCTAGGCTGGTCTCAAAACTGACTATCCTCTGGCCTCCACCTCCCAAGTACTGGGTTTCCAGGCAAGTGCCACCACACCTGGCAAAAATAAAAGATGTATTTACTTTATGTATATGAGTGCTCTATCTGTATGTAATGCTAGAAGAGGGCATCAGAGCACGATGTTGTGAGCTGCCATGTGGTTGCTGGGAATTGAACTCAGGACCTTTGGAAGAGCAACCAGTGCTCTCAACCACTGAGCCATCTCTCCAGCCCTATGTCTTAAACTTTTGGTGGAAGGTTTTTTCTTTTTTCTCTTTACATTCCCACTGTTCTCTTAGATTCTTCTTGATATTTGAGTCTAAAGACTAATGCAAAGTTAGTCACCAAAGCAAGGATAAGCATTGGTCTTCATTCTCTCTTTTTACTTACCCTTTCACCACAACTGACTCGTAGCTTGGTGGGCTGACGTTGGCCTCTTATCTCTACAAGCAGAAGCCACTCCCTCGAAAAGGCTGCTCCTCAGCTTCCTCCACTTCCAGTACCTGGGTCTAGTTTCAAATTTAAGAAGCCAAGACTAACAGTCTTTAGTATTGGATAGATGTGGTGTGTTCATTTTGTTTTCTTTGTTTGAAATGGTAGAGCTCTAACCTAAGGCCTCAAGTGTTGTAGGCAAGCACTGTACCACTGAGCTACAGCTCTAGCCTGGATGATTTTACACAGCTAGTAAAACAGAAGCCTTAGGCTGGGGTGTTCTTGTTCAGTGGTAGAGTGCATGTGCAAGCTTGTGGGTTCAATCGCTTAAACACACACTCTCTCTCTCTCTCTCTGTCTGTCTCTCTGTCTGTCTGTCTGTCTGTCTGTCTCTCTCTATCTATCTATCTATCTCTCACTGGCACACCCCACAAACAAAAAACAAAAAAACTCAGATGTGGCGGCTCATTCTGTAATCACAACACCTGGGAGGCTAGAGTATGAGAATCATGAGTTTAAGGCTAGCCTGGCCTATACAGTGTTCAGGTAGGGCTAAAGTGAGACCCCACCTTAAAAGAAGTCAAGCATAATTCCTTTTCCTAAATCTATTTTAAAACAATTTTTAAAATTTATTCTTTTGCTGAGCAGTGGTGGTGCACACCTTTAATCCCAGCACTCGAGAGGCAGAGGCGGGCAGATCTCTGTGAGTTGGAGGCCAGCCTGGTCTACAGAGTGAGTTCAAAGACAGCATGGGCTACAGTGTGAAACCTTGTCTCTAAAAACAAAACAAAACAAAAATTCAAAGAAACCATAGATATCTAAAACCAAGTAAATATATAAAATAGTAAAGTCACTTTGGAAAACAATTAAACAGTTTAGCAATTCTTCAAAAGCTAAATTTAAGGGGGGGATGGAGGGTTGGTGGGGGGAATGGGAGGACGGAAGAGAGAGGGAACTGTGATTAGTATGTTAAATAAGGTTTTTAATTTAAATAAAAATTGTTATAATTTTTTTTGAAACATGGTTTCTCTGTGGCTTTGGAGACTGTCCTGGAACTCATTCTGTAGACCAGGCTGGCCTCAAACTCACAGAGATCCACCTGTTTTTGCCTCCCAAGTGCTGGGATCAAAGGCGTGCACCACCACTGCCCGGACAATAAAAATTAATTGTAAAAAAGCTAAACTTGAGGGTTCTGGAGAGATGGCTCAGAGGTTAAGAGCACTGACTGCTCTTCCAGAGGTCCTGAGTTCAATTCCCAGCAACCACATGGTGACTCACAGCCATCTATAATGAGATCTGGTGTCTTCTTCTGGCTTGCAGACAGACATGGAGGCAGGATGTTGTATTCATTATACACATTATTGTGTATTTGTGTGTGTATATGCATGCATGTGA